AAATGTTTTAAAATAAAATAAAACAAAATAAAACATAAATGAATAAATTCACAACTACTGGATCACACTGCAAGATCTTTCCACACTGGGTCTTTGTTGTTGACGTTATTATTATTATTATTTTTTTTGTTGGGTATTAGAAGCAAACTGATAAAAAGGTTGATATACGCATAACTGACTCTACTCTTACCGGGGGTTCATTTATCACACGTAGTCACATGACGGAGATAATGACTGCTCTGCCTGGATTTTGCTGGAGTGTCGGAGAATGAGGGTGCTGTCACACATAAGCCTAATATAACATTATATGACCCAATGAAAACGGCCCCAGCTGTACAAGTTAAACTTTTGTGCCGCTCCGCCAAGGTCAGGCTTAGTCGTTGTTTGAAAGGCAACTAAAGAGAGCTCATCGCTTCAAATTAAGCCAAAGGAACACAAAAGGAAGTATATAATCTGAATGTGAAAATTGCTTTTTTCTTCTTCGTCAATGCTCTCTTACGTTATACCAAACAGAATGGGTGTTCTTCACCACCCCCTCTCCCCCCTCCCCCAATTTATCTACATGTATTTTGAAACTGCACTGACAGCCACCTTCCCAAGACAATTATATCCCCCCGGGGAAGTGCCACTCACTGTAGCGTCTTTAGGCCATTCCCAAAGGGGGGACATTTTTCGTTCAAGCACAGTAAAATTGTAAATGGGCTGATTCATGTCACGCTCATAACTGTGCCTGATCTACAACAGGGAATTGCTGCTTTTTCTTTCCTATTACTTATTATTGTCTTTTTCGTCTACTTCTTTTGTATGTTTGTCGCTCTCTTGTGACCTGCTAATTCCAGGGTGCCTTGATAGTTGAAGTAGACTTTGTGCTGTTGAAGCTATAGAGAGGTGAGCAGAGTAAGTCGGATTCCCTGTAAAGACTTCTTAGTTGACATCCACCCCTTGGCGCTCATATGACCTTACGCAGTTGCAAGCGCCGTAAAACCCTCTACTAAAATAAAATAATAGTGCGGTAAAAAAATTCGTGGCGCATTTATCCCCAGATATCTCTTTAACGGGTGAATCAATGTCACCACCCATACTCTGCACAGCAGTTTGTAACAATGTCTTTACTCAATCACATTTTCCAATAACAATTGAAGTTAGCTTTTTCAAAACTTTTCTTGATAAACTTATTATATAAAATACTATTTATAAAGCTCCGACACGCGGAAAATGGGACTGTTAACAACAAATTCCCCTTCTCACACGTACACTTTGCATACATATATGGTCAACGTCACAGCTCACAAAAATACACTTTTTAGTGGCAAAACTTGTTACAAGAAATCAATGTTATAGTGAACACTTTTTTTGCCTTAAAGGTTCTCAAAACCATGTGTTCAATGGGCATAATGTCCCAATTAGTAAAAACAGGTGACGTACCATACTTGCTTTAAAAGGCAACATTTTCCAGCTGTAAACTTTTTAAATTATGTTGAAACTACACATTATGATTTTAAAGTAGAAGTTATTAAGGAATTTTCTAGAACGTAGCTAACAGGAGTTTAAAAAAAATATTGATCTGTTAAGACAAATTGATACAAGACATAGTGCTAAAGCTGGAGATATTATGTTCTATAGTTGAGGAAATTATTTAACAGTATTTGCCGCCACGAATTTTTTGGCACACTATTATTACCTTTACAAAAGATCACCTGTCACTGCCTTAGTGTTGTCAAAAAGAACTGTTCATATTCATGTATATTCAGTCTCTCACTGGGGTAGGGTAGATTTACTTCCACAGCAACCCAATGCCCACCTGTTTCCCACAGGAAGAAGGGGGGGGGGGGGGGGGGGGCTGACGAATTTTCAGTAACGTAGGCTAATAATTAATTGTCACTAGGTCAACAGCACTCTTGCGTAAAAATATTCAATACCCACAAAAGGAGCGGGACAGATCCGTGCTATAAAGTCGCATGCAAAAAGTTTATACCGTAGGCCTAGTAACAATAGACCAATGCTATAAAATCTCACGCATACATTACAAGCCTACTACTAATAATATACAAGTCTATTTTTCATGATAGGTTTTGTCTCAGGTCTTCAACAACTGCAGCAACAACAACAGTAACAACAATTACAACAATAACAACAATAACAACAACAATAACAACAACAATAACAACAACGGCAGCAACAACAACAACAGCAACAGCGACAACAACAACAACAGCAACAGCAACAACAACAGCAACAGCAACAGAAACAGCAACAACAACAACAACAACAGCAACAACTACAGCAGCAACAATAACAACAACAATAACAACAACAGCAGCAACAGCAACAGCAGCAGTAGCAACATCACCACCAGCAGCAGTGCAGCAGCAGCAGCAGCAGCAGCAGCAGCAGCAGCTTTAGTAACATCACCATCACCTCCACCAACGACAGCAACAACAATAACCACAACGATGGTAACGATGATACCACCACCGCCACCACCACCACCACCACCAACAACAACAACAACAACAGTAACAGCAGATACAACAACCACAGCAGCAGCAAAATGGCCAATAACGCATCCAGTAATCTCGATATCGCCGACGACAATGGCAACAACAATGACAACGAACTAGAAGTAATAACTTCCATTTAAAAGGATGCATTAATTTGATACCCGTCTGTTGTATAAATATACGACCAAAGTCACAATTCATGCACCAGCAAGATAACAATCTTCAGTCCAGATGAACGGCATACCGCTCTTTTTTTCTTTTTTCTTTTTTAGGTCTAAGTGTTTTACAGTGCTCGAAATGGTATAAGATCCTATGAACTCGCGAGACACATTTGACTTTGATAGGAATTAATTTGCCGGGGGGCGGCCGAATCCTACTCTTATCGATTTTGTAACCCAAGAGCGCAGCTTGGGACCTCCGAGATTTTTCGCCTTTATCCGAGAAGGCTAGGGGTTAGATCTTACCTACCCTGAGATCAGAGGTGTGGCAAAAAGACAGCAGTAGGAGCTAAGGAGAGCAGTAGAGAGGATGCAGAAATGCAGGAGTCAGGAGCCTAGATCGGAGGGGAAAAAAAGGGGGGGGGGAGGGGGGAGAAAGGGAAGACGAAAGCAGACGACAAAACATGGTTGGAGAGCAGGGAAGGAGATGAAAGGAGAAAAATTTGGAGAAGAAAATTTTCCGTCACCGTCAGGTTTCGAAGACGGGACCTATTGAATGAGAGGCGAATACCGTGACGTCGCCTAGACCACGAGAGCCCCCATACTCTGTGCTTCTGTTTTAATTAATTTGCTCTTTCCTTCTAATGCAGTATTCCCACAACACAGGAGAAAAGTCGACAAGCAATTCTTGATAAGATAATGTCAAATTCGGGTTTAATCGAGACGAACATCTGGCCATGACTGTTGACATTATGGTGTCGCCGAGCATTAATTTAGGACAGCAAGCATCTAACCGAGCATCTCGCCGAGCGTCTTGCCGAGCAATTAGTTAGAATCCTGGCCGCTTGCAGAGCCAAAAAAAACAACAACGCAGAGGTCGAATAAGATTTCACACGCCGACAAACTCGCCGACACCCCGACAAACTCGTCGACCATGCTGACCATCTTGCCGACCCGTCACTGAGTTAGTCGGCGTGCTATGTTATAATAATGTGTTAAAAGGGGGGCAAAATGCTTGTGCCCATTCCTTCAACATGCCTCTTATGCCACCACCGGAGAAGCAGATCTTGGAGAAGAAGACATTCCGGGCTCTTCTTCTGAAGCAGCAGCAGCAGCAGAAGTATCCAGAAGGCTCATGAAGGCAGGCTGGACAACAGGGATGTTACGAAATACTGTGTTTAGATTCCAACGCAATTGCGTCCCATTTAAAAAGGTGTGTTGTAATTTTATGGTCCTTGCCCCCTAATTAACAAATCGTGAATTAATGACTTCAATACGCAGATTTCTTTGAAACCGTGAAAGAAAACAAAACAAAACAATATAAAGCAACAAACAAACCCTCCTCCCCCAAACCAAAAACACAAAAAACAAACGAAAAAGAAAAACAACCAACACAAAAAACTATCAACAACAACACAAAACAAACGGCCAGTCAAGCAACCAACCAACGCACAAACAAACAAACAAACAAATAAACAAACGAACAAACGAACAAACGAAACAAAAAACGCGCTGATTTGATATTATTAATTCTATGTTCATTATGATGCAAGCAATCGCTTTCTGGGTTAAAATGAATTTTTTTTCTTCTGGTGCTCATATGACCTTATGCAGTTGCGAGCGCCGTAAAACCTCTACTAAAAAAATGAACTAGATGATAAGTGTGTGTGGGGGAGGTGGGGGTGGGTGCCGTTGACATATCATGAGAGGGATCATAATAATATTGATCTATGTATTTTTCTTGATCTGCTCTGTTTTCTTCGCTTTTATATATGCAATAGCCTATTGTGGGTTAAAATTGATTTTGACACCCCATTATATATGTCTATTTATGAACCAATAAGTTAAAAACGTCTTTCTCGTATGAAATCATGACGACCCGAATGTTGTCCCCACAAAACAGTTGAAACCTTGCGTGTGCGTACTAACTAGGTCAAGTTAATTCTAAATGGAGGGCTAAAGTTTACTTTTATCGTATGTTTTTCTCGGATCAAGGGAGTTACTGAAAATTAACCTTAACGTTCAACAGAAAGAGATTGAAAAATTATCTCAAAGTCAAACTTATTAACTCTTTTGACATAATAAACTCATTGAGAGGAGGACTATTATAAATATTGTTATTATTCTGTGTTACAGTTTTGATACACTTTTTAATTAAAGGAAATACAATTTTTACTCATAGGGCGGCATACGGACTCACAATTAAAAAACCCACAACACATTATTACGTATTTTGCCTTGTCCTCCTTTCCCAGAACGATGTATTGATTGTAATACATGTAATTCTAATTGAATGTTGAAACAGCGAATAGATACCATAACGAAGAGCGAAGAAGGGAAGTTACTCCATTAAAATCTTTACTTTTGCTTTGCGTTTGGTCAGTGTACACCGCATGGCAATTTATATCGAACAATGTTGTTCGCTATCCTAGTGTAACGGTGAGCAATGTTTTCTATTTCTGCCGTATATGTGCTTTTTAGATTCTAGAAACTTTAATAGAAATGTTACGAAGAATAATTTCATTTTTTCAATAAATTCTTGGTTCATTTGGAGGCCCTCAGCCCCACTGGCCCCAGTTCTCACTCAGCCAGCCACCCTCCTAACACAATTCAACATAGGGAAGGACTTCCGTGACGAGCAACGACCCCAAAGTTTTACAGACACAATTTAAAATGAATAAAGAAGAGACTTACCCATACATACACTACCCCAAACGTTAACCCTACCCCAAACCTTAACACTAACTTGACTAACCCTAGATCTACCCCAAACCCCACCCCTCTGTCTCTGTTCTACTCATGTCTCATCATAGTGGTCGCTCGTTATAGAAGTCCTCCCTTGAAAAAGTGTTTTTGTTGCTACCTCTGCTGTATTTACATCTAGAATTTAGATCTAGATTCTAGATCTAGATTTAGATCCAATCTAGATTAGATCTAGATATCTAGATCTAGATCTAGTATTTCTAACGTGATGACTACTTTCATTGTTGTTCATGGCGTCGGGAACATATATATAGATCAATTTGCAGGCTATGTTCACGGCAACCTGAATCATCCACCTTTGGGAGAGAGACACAAGAACTGAAACGCTAAGGTCGCTCAAACTCAAAGTGAATGAGGAAACAGCACAAGAATTAGATCTAGATATATTCGCGCGAAAAGTAATGCAGCGGTGGTCTGAATGCTACGGAGTTTACGGAGGGCAAAGGCGAGCACATCACAACAGCCCTGGTTGACAAGGCCCCACTTGCTCAGCGCGCGAAACACGACAACGATCATCTTCCTGTTTGTGGACCCGGCAACGCGCGACGGTTTGAAAATAAAAATCGTTCGTAGAAACAAGGGAGAATGAAAGAAGGGCAAGGGGGGAAGAGGGGTGGGAGAGGGTGAAAAAAGGGTAAAGTAAAGGAATAGGGGGTGAAGTGAGCAAGATCATTCTTAAATTGCTAACTCTACATTCATGGCACCATGAACGTAGCAATTAAAACTTTTCCCTGGGGCTGTACTCAGTCAATTTTCTCGGAATCGTTGTTTTAAATTACCTTTTCTGCGACACTATCATCCGTTTCTTTTATTTTTATTGTAAATCACCCCTCTTTACCACCTCTTGTCCGATGACGATTTATAAGACAAAATTCTAGATCTATAGATCTTTCTCTAAGACTCATGGACTGCTCGGTGATGGGGTCAAGAAGTGTGAAGTTTTGTTTGACAATTGTTTCCTTTTCACTGGAATTCTGATTCAAGAATCTGTTGAGATTCACGACTATTCACAGACTGCAATGCAGCCCTAGAGAAAAGCTTTAAAAATTATTAATTTAATATGCAAACTACATTCAGGCGTGCCGTGAACATAGCCTGCGAACTACGTACGACGCCGTGAACTTAGTCACTGCATATTATTATTACGGAGTTTCTACGTACACGGTAACCGGGCACCTAGTCTCACCTAGTCTTTGTATTTACGTACACGGTAACCGGGCACCTAGTCTCAGTATCTACGTACACGGTAACCGGAATGAAAATAAATCAATATTTGTCCTGTGCTGTCACTTGCTGGAAAAAAAAAGTCATACAAGCGTAAGCGTCTTGTCGGGCTCGCCATCATGACAGATCAGTGAATCTGTGCGTGTGCATCACATTATGAGTACCGGTTGGGGTCACCAAAGTTCATCCAAAGTCTGTGCGCTGCGAAGTATAGGGCTCCGGAATGGGGTTGGGGGAGATTATTATTTTTTAAAAAGGTACAGTCGGGGGAGGGGTGGGGATGAAGGCAACACCGAATGACAAAGGGAACTTGGAGTTCTGAACTGCCCGGTTACCGTGTACGTGACACCAGAGAGTATTTAATTGTATATAGTCTCTGGTGACACTGAGACTACATGCCCAGTAGCCGGTTACCGTGTAATCCTACGTAGGTATAGAAGCTACATGACCGGTTACCATGTACATGACACTGAGATTATCATTACATGCCCGGTTACCGTGTACGTAGACACTGAGGCTAGGTGCCCGGTTACCATGCACGTAGACACTCCGTTATTATTATCATTGACCTCCTGCATTTTTATTAGTTATCTCCTTCTTAGGAAATTAAAAGTTAAATTTAAATCATAACTTATGTTTGCTTACAGGAATGTGCAAGTCTTTACCTAAAGCTGAAGAGGTGAATACAGACACAATGTCAGACGAAGAAGATATGATACTGGACCAAGTAAAGAGGGACAATAATCACTTCAAGGGTTTGTTGGACCTGATCCCTCCTCAAAGCTATTTCAGTCAAGAGGAAAAAGATGAAATCTGGGGAAACAACACTGGTAAAAATTATTTGTTTAAATTTCTTTGTGTTATTTTTGTTGTTAATGTGCATGGCCACTTTTCTTGTTCAACAGGGATTTTATTTGTGTGTTGCTGTGGAAAGTACGGATTGGAATCGAAGTTCAGAGGAGCTATGATTAAATATTATAAAGACTGGACAACAAAAATATTTGTTTTTAGCAGTGAACTGGTACATATTTTTATTGTCAAAATGTGTGTGAGCCATTTGTATTTGTTGTGTCACAATGACAGGTCTTTTACATGGTGCGGTCATGAGTACTAAATCAAATGGGTGCTCCAAGGCCAAGGATACTCTTTAGATCAAATGGAAAAAAGGTGCATCATGTATTTACTGAAAAACATTCTAGGAGTAATTTTTGAAACACTCAAGAAGGTGATATGTGTGAACATGTGAGTCCCTCACTGCTTTTTTGATAGGGTGTTAAGAATGTCTCCAAGTTGTTGACAAGAATGACAACCGTACTTTATTTTAATATTTAATATATGTAACATGTGTGTGTATTTCTACATGGTTAATGAATTATACTGAGATACTCGCTGACATTACATTTTTTTCTTTTTTTTAAATCAGGAAAAAGCATTTATGTCACTATTTAGTCTCAACATGGCAAGTGAGTCACTCGCAGTAGTAGAGTTAAGAGACTGATCCTTTACTCGTGTAAGTGTTGGGTATAATTGTCTTCTCAAGTTAAGAATGAGAACCAAAAAAAAACCCTTCAGGAGTTTTGAAGAGTTTGAAAAGAATAATAATGGACAAGGATTTGGGTGGTTATATTTTTCAGCTGACCTTTTGAGATTGGCCTATGATTTAAAACTATAATATATTGTATGTATTTACATGCGCACATCAACATGTGTTATTTAATAAATTGATGTAAAATTCTGTTTCAAACTCCTACATAGTGTCATTGTGTTCCGCACTTTTTATTTAAAGGCCTGGCTGTGACGATTTCAGATAAAAGTGTTACCCACATTGTCCATGCAACACTAACATGCAAGAGAGTAACCTTTGTCCTTTTGCCTAATCCATTTAATAGATACAGGGGACTCCAATGAAGCTGGGTTTGGATCCAAAAAGAAAAAGCAGCACAACAGAAAGAAAAGTGGAGCAGTCTCTCTTTCATCCCTTACGGTGACCCAGATTACAGAGCTGAGACAGAAAGGACTGACTGTTGGTAAGTACTTTTTTCACAATGCCTTTCTTATTGGTTTTCAGAACATATTCACTTGTGGTCGGGAATACTCTTCCTGATTATTTGATTAAGACAAGATGGCTGATTCAGAATTTAAAAAAATAGTACCTAAATTAATAGTTTGATTCCTTATCTCAGGCAAGCTGCTTCAAGCAACCCATTTGTTGCGTTATTTGTGAAGCCTGTGGAGGAATACCTCATCACATAATGAGGTGATGGAGAAGTGTGTGCCTGGTGACAAGACACTAAACAAACCAGAATGAGTTTACATGTTCGCGTCTGGTTTAAGTGCCCTAAGACGGTCTTTGTGATCAAACCAAAGGTAGGAGTAGCTTTAGCTCTGGCTACGGTGGACTTGAATCCGGAGGTCCCTGGCACTTGGATGATAATGCAGTTTCTAAAGCTTCAGGTCTTAGCCCAAACCATGGACAATGGCCTCAGAAGGAACTGAGAAGGAACCGCATCCAAATAAAGAGGGCAGACATTGCTGTAGAGGGTGTGGCGAAGAAAAACAAGAAAGGGCGTGTCTTTTAGAAGAAGAAAGATGGACTGGCAGACCTTTACAGCCCAGAAAGAGGGACGCATTAGGAATATTATAGCTCTCCTTTTGCAATTTTGCAATATTGATGAAATAGTTTTCTTTGGCAAGGTGGAGTCCAATGTTTCTGACGAATTGCCCTCAATTTTCTCTTTTCCGTTGTTTCTACCACTCAATAAACCTCTATGGTATTACTAACTACTGTATTTTATTGTTATTTTTGCTCAGAATTACATATTACAGGATTGGTAACCAGGGTTGGGTTGATTTAAATCAGTTAAAAAATTTAAATCAACTTGGTTTCTTAAATAAAAATTAGTGATTTAAATCACTTTAAAAAAAGATTTATTCAGTTTAAAAAAAAAACTATTTAAAAGTTCAGAATACCTTTCCTTGGTTTTATAAAACAGATATAAGGTTTAGTAGATTCATATAATCATGCTTAAAAGTCTGCTTCCCCCCGCACTGTAAAATAATACAGTATTCAATTTACTTTTTTTTCATAATTGAAATCAGAGTTGTGTTGGTTTTTATTTAAGTCAAGTTGATTTTTAAAATAAAAATATGTTATTTTAAATCACACAAAAAATGTATTCAGTTTTTACATGTTTAAACATCTGGAATTCCTTTCCTTGGTTTTCATAAAACAGACGTAAGGTTTAGTAGACTAATATAATCATGCTGTAAAGTCTGCTTTCCCCCCTATCACTGTAAAATAATACAGTATTCAATTTACTTTTTTTTTCATAATTGAAATCAGGGTTGG